CAGTGGCAAGAATGGTGGGCCCCTATTAGCGTTTAGGGTTTAGGGCTTTACTTAGGGTTGAGTATTTAGGGGTTTAGGGTTCAGGGTGTAAACTATACTGCATAATCTCCATACAGAAGCCCCGCCCAGTTTCCGTTTCATGTTCCATGTTCTTTCTAGTCGATTCTCCATCCTTGGGGTCATTTTCCCTATCTTGCCGAAACCCTACATAATCCCCATATAACCTTCATTATCGAAATCCCTAGATTCTAACCCCGATATAACCCCACCATAGAACCCTTACAGCCTTACAGCCCCCATACATCCCATGTCCCCTGTAAAACCCCTAAGCAATCTGGGGGCCTGGCCCATACTGGCCATGGCATCCTTGTCTTGGCTGGACGGTGAATATGCTGGAAGGATGGAAACCAAATTCCTTGGCCAAAGGGGACATGGTAGTTTCCCTAAACAGTGAGAATCCGGTATCTTATAATCCTCTTCAATGGGCCCCTTTAAAAAGGTATCCCTAATTTGGGGAAACTACCACATGGGAATAATGTAGGCACACAGGCAGGATACGGGGAGTGTAAGGAAATTGGACAAGGATTCTGAAAGTATCCTTGGGTTCGTTATGAGTTTGTTCGGGTCGAGTCGGAAGAAATATTATCTCTCTTCAGCATGCTTCATCGGGGTTTAGACTTTAGCGGCTTCACAAAGCTCTGCGCAGGCGACTTCGTTTCAGCAGACAGCAGTTCTGAATGATGTGTGCATCTGCAACTTCATGATGAGTCCTCTGCAGCAACAGAATGATCCTGCATCACGGCTTTTGCTCCGGAATCTATTACCAGTATTACTGGTATGACTACAGTTACCATTAATACGATTATCACCCTTATTCCTATTATTACCATTACTGTGGTTGTTCTTGCTCGAGCAAGGGGTTCAGCAAACAAGTGCACCAGTGAAACCAGACACAGCTGGACAACACTGGGAAGAATCCGAGCAAGCAGTTGCAACCCTGCAGGTTTCCCTACATGTTGAAAGTTTCGTGCGGGGGTGGTTCCGTATAATAGGGATTATACGATTATACTAAAGATAATAATGAGAGTGATTGTAATCGTACTAATACTAATGATAATCACAGTAGTAATGGTGATAATCGTAATAACAGAAATAATAGTAATGATAGTGAACAAATAAAACCAATAATGGTAGTATTCAAAGTTATAAGAATACACAAATGTAATAGTAGGAGAAGAACGGTAGTACGACTACGAATAATGGTCATAAGGGTAAACGTAAATTCGAAAGCCTAGCTGCTGAAGTCTGCCTCGACTTCTGAAAAAAGGCAAGGAAGCTTGATGCAAGGAATCTGGCAGATGGCCATCTATGACAGAACTGTATGTCATGAAGGCATAGTAGAAATCCCACAAAAAAAAGCCATGGCCATGCCATGGCCTTGCCGAGCTCATCCATTCAGACCTGCCACCACCCTGTCCAGCCAGATGTAAAGGGTGGAATACTGGAGCTTCTTCAACGGGGCTCAGATGTAGGAGCTTCCGCTTTCCATGAACAACAGCAAAACCATTTCTAAGTACCGAAGACAAGCTCCGTACACAATTCACTGGCCAAGGCAGCGGCAGAAAGGCCGTCGAGGTGGGCAGGCCTTGGATTTGGCAAGCCGTAACAAACGCGACTCCCAAACGCCTAAAGTGAATTCCTGAACACTAAGCCAGCGGAAAACCCTACCTGATTTGTATTTCGCCTGCACGCCAGGATGTGTAGGGACTGGAAGGAGAATATTTCAGGGTGCCTCTGAAGGATGAGGTAAGTAAGCTGACCCCTATAGGGGTTGGCTTGCAAGCATCAACTGTTGCTCCTATGACACATTCAGACATGAAACTACATGATGCCAGTCAGGCTCAGCATCCCACAAGTCATGTTTAGTGTGCATATTATTGGGTGAGTGCATAGGGTTCCAGGCTTCGGGGCTTGGTCTGTCGTGTTCCAAGTAGGCTTGAACACAACCATGAACTTCCCGGGCTTACTTCCTGAAATGTAAGAACTCTTTCTGTCAACAGATGGCCAAATGTCGTGCCAATGATGAAATCTGACTCTTGAGGTTTGGGCTTTAATCCCTAGCCGTTAAACTGAAGCCCGATAACCTTCTACCTGAATCCTAGGCCTCTGAAACTGCATCCCCTACTATGACCCCAATATATACACCGCCATAATATCATAATGTAGTAGTTTCCGTTTTCTTTTCCATTATCCCCATACAACGCTAATCTATTCACACTCTTCAGGGCGCCGAGCTCAGATTCGCCTGCTTTGCTGCAACGGCTTTCGGAGGGCTTCTTTGGCCCTTTGGCGACCCCTTGCAAGCAGAGAGAGGGAACCAGTTGCTTTCAAATGTCTGGAAATGCTCGAAACACATGTGGATTGAAACCACAAAAACGAAGAGCTGCCCCCAAAACGGTAACCCCAAACCCAAAATCCTACTAGCGCAAAAAAAAGCTGAGACGGGAACAATGGCATTCAGGAGGCCCTTTGGATGGCAACGTCCTTTTGACCCCTCATTCATGGACCCAAGAGGGGCGCCCCGCGACTCAAATCCATGAGAGCTTGCTATAAGTTTTGACACCACCCCCCCCCCTTCCCTACTGGGGCCCTCCCCAGCGCAGCAATGTTTAAAGTGGCACCTCACAGTGCTAGCTGCTTCTCGACAGTATCAGGAACTTTGAGAGGTTTCCGTCATGAGGATCTTACGCGGGAATTCCACATGACAGAAGCTAAGAGAAGACGACTTGAGGGATGGAAAAGACCATGTATGGTAAACATGGAAGCCCAAAACGGGCCTACAAAGAACCTTATCGACATTCAAGCAGCCGACTTGTTATGAGTTTTCATACTAGTTGTGGCATCCTTGCCCTATCTCTTTCAGCCGGGAAGTACTCCCTCAGGCCCCGGATCCCAAAGTCCTTAGCTCATGCTTACCATCCTGAGGGGCGTGGGAACCTAGGAGCCTATAGGTTAAGGGTTTAAGCGTTTAGAGTTTAGGGTTTAGGGCTTAGGGTTGAAGAGGTAACCTCAATGAGGGCTCAATAATGAGGTCGGCCCCGTCTTTATCACAGAGCTTATATAGGTTGCATCTTGGAGAGGCCCGGGAAAGACCGCAACATGGAACGTAACGAACTAGTAGCTACCCTCGAATAACTCTTGCGATGCTGTCACACCCACACGAAATGTTCGATCGTATAGAAATATCCCAAGCTCAGCAGATTGACACTTAGCCCAGACCTCCACAAAAATCATGGCCCCAAGTTCTGACGCACAACGCGCAAATGAACCCCCCAAAAAACAAAAGCAACATAACCTCAAAAATCAAAAAGCTCAGATAACATTAGAATTGAGAAGTAGCCCAACATGACCTTAACTAAGCACAGGTTCAGGTCAAAAACAAGTTGAGCAGAACTCAAAAGCCACTCAATGCATGATAGAAAGCATTAATGACGGTTGAGTTTCGTGACTTGTAGGTTTATCGGAAATTGTGTGAGCTTCGCCAGAGAATCTTGAATTTGAGTTCTGGGTTTTCTGAGTTGTGTTGCACGAGCTGCTTTCTGATTTTGTCTAAGTTGTTTCAGAGTTTTCCATGTCGGCTTGGTTTGAGTGTTCGATGAGTTTTGCTGAAGCTGTTAATGTGGGTTAGAGGGAAGCATAACATCCGATTTCTTTTTGATTACTGCGGTCTGTATGTCCCTACATAAGTCCGAAAATTCAAACAACATGTCCTGTATCCTTGCTTTCCCACAAAAGCTGCCAACCACTTGTGAATGAAACCGCCCGTAGTTCATTATAGACACCCCACTAATTCATATCCCCCTAACGCTCGGCCTTTGTAGGAAGCCCTCCCCCTTGACAAGTAGTCTTCCAGGCTGCTATCCTACAGGCTTTTAATTGATTGATTCATAGGAGGTGGTTCTATGAGTAAGGGTAGGTGATGAACATGGAGGAGAGCCCAATGTACAACTCAATGCGCTACGATCCTTCTTATAGCCTTAGATCTTATATACATATCCCTATAATAAATACACAGTTTCCATGTCCATTTCATTCTCCATCATGGTAACTGGACCCCTCATCATTGGGGGGTTTAACCTAAACCCTAAACCCTAGGGCCCTAGGGGTGTGGGGGCATTTAATATTAGCGGTGGGAACAAATTGAACCAGAAGCCCAGCCTGGACATGACTTTGGCCCTCGCAGGGCTCCAGGCGCCTCGGCCAATGCGCAAAAAAAAGCAGCCCCCCTGTTTAGAAACTTAGATTAAGTTACCATGTTATGGGTATATAGTAAATAATAGGATTTACTGATTACAGTAACCGAATTTAAGTTCCTTAGCAGCAACGCGGAAACGTATTAGGGGCCTAAATAATTGAAAACAAAGTGGAAACTAGTATACGGTGTTGTATTAAAGCTTACAGTATCATTCCATTATTATATAGGAGTACCTAGGGTTTAAGGGGATATTAACCTGAGAATGGAAAATCAAACAGAGCAGAAGAAAAAGATGAAACATGAAATGGACACTGAGTCTATTTTGGGGTTGTACGACGGGATATTTATTGCACTAAATAGCTCCCAATATTGTCTTGCGATGTCGTGGCACCATACTAGAGGTGCTCATTCAGGCTTCTAGGTTAGTAGCTACTGTGTATGGGAGGAACCCTGCACTGGGAGCATCTTGACCGACTTTTTCAGCAATTCCCTTTTGGGCGTTCCTATTGTCCTCCTTCAAATGGGAATGCTTTGTGGCCCCCTTCCCTGCCATCAACTCGCGCAAAATGGTCACAAACTGAACGACTCTTAGTTTGGAAGCTGATGGCGCAAGTGCAGGCCCAGTCAACTGTCTCAGGAACACAGTAAGGCTCAGTAAGAAGTATCAGGTTCCCAGGCTTCATCCTGAAGACTTGCCGGCCAGGTCTGTAGGCTTTTGAATACATGAACTCGCAATCCCTGCAACTTAAACGGCCATCTTGCAATAGTGGGTCCGGCACGCCACTGACTGCGAGATGTCATCAATTCCTTAGCTGTGAACATGCTGGAATAACTGCAGGCGGATCTTTCAAGCACTTGCGAGGCCCTGTCAAAATTGCAGATGGCACACACGGCCAAACAAGCGCTCTCCAAGCCATGATTTTGGGAGTGGCAATTGACACTCTGACTGTCCACTACCGGCAATTGCACAATCCGCCTCTTCCGGGTAGAGAAACCTCATGGCTCATGGATTATCATGGCAGATTGACTTATCAGACTCCACAGGTTGCCCATGAATCTTCACCGGATCCTGCAACGAGACACCAACTTCCCAAACAGCCAAGAGTCGACTGCGCAAGTCGTCCTGCCAAAGCACGAGGATCACGGGAGAAAAGGCCTGAGGGAAGGGGAGTGAACGGAGCTTATAAGAACGGATCAGCTTCCACCGCAATGAAGCTCTCTGGCCCAATGGCCCCTACTGAGCACCTCTCTGCAAAATGGTCATGGACGCACACATCCGTGCAAAGAACGTCTTTTGACAGGCAGCGGGATGGATGCTGCACTCTGTACCATCTGATTCATTCTGCCGAAGATTCAGCCGACTCAGTCCTGGAGGACTTCCGACAGCATCAGATAACGTTGAGGTTCTGGCAAATGGGGCGCCCGTTGGTGCTGTAGTCATTCTGTTTATAGTGAATGGAACCATCCTGGGTGTAGTGGACTACTGTGACGCCCGTCTTGACATGCCCAATCGTGAATCCCCCGCCCTCTGCCTCCCCCAGGCGCCAGAACCCGATTTGGATGAAGTTGTGGCCCATGTAGATGCCCCTGGGTTGGCCAAGAGCTCTGTGGTCGAATCCATTCCATTCTGTCAGAGCATGGCTGGGATTGCGGTACACGAGGCCATCGTAACGGAAGAGCTGGGCCTGGGATCCACAGCGCCTACAAAGGTCTCTACGCACAAAATGATGCACAACATGATAGTGCAGCGGGATGCCATGTTGCGATTCTGGTGCGAGATCGTAAAATGCCCCGCATTGATTTCCGCGAACCTCCATGACCCGATCTGAATGAAGCGGTTCCCAAAGTAGATGCCATAGGTTGAGAGGTCCATGGTTGGGTCCACCACCTCGCTCTGGGCCCAGGTTGAAGCACCCCAATCTTGCCTGGGACCACCGTGCCGGGTAGCATCCGATCTCCAGATCATCGCCGTGCTGCCGTTCAGGTTCGAGATCGAGAAATGAGCATCGTTGATCATGGCCAGCCGCCAACTCCCCAGTTGGAGATAGTTGTGCCCAGCCCTGACTCCACGCTCCTCCACGGAGTTGCAGAACATGCCATGCTCGTGCACCAGATTTACACGGTCCTTGAGTTGTGTGATAAGCCTCTCAGTGCTGCTGAGCCGCCCATTGGTGTCCACGATGTTGTTGGAGACTGCGACGTTCGATTCATGGTCCGAAGCGCGGAAAGTTTTCTTCATCGCACTAGGCTTCAGGGTGCACCATCTCAGGTTGGGATCGACATCGACCTTTTGGTCGCTACCCTTCTTAGCGCATGTATGATCACGTAATCCTCCGGGCACTGGGCGGTGATCTCCGCGGGTGGGTTGTTCCCGCTGCAATCCTGCTCCAACTTGGTGAAGTCGATGGATTCGTCTCCATGGGTAGGCTTCAGGCTGTTGTACCCGCCAATAATTTGTCGGGTGTCTCGACTGCTGCAGTCGAAAAAGGCGCCCCGCTGGGAATCTCCGCTCAGGATTTTGCCGGACAGCACGGCCAGTGAGCTATCCCACATGGCCATGGCCTCTGTGTTGGCAAAGCCGCCTTCGAAAGCAGCCCGGCTGCATTCTGGGTCCAGAGGAAACTTGGTGAGAACTACTGCCTCCGCCACCATGGAAAGGAAATCGACGCTGGTAAGCCGATCTGGCAAGGCGATGAGGTACTGCGACAAGGCATGGAGGTTGACCGCAAAGCCCTGCACCTCCTCGTAGTTGGGGAAGGCGTTCAAATACATCTCCATGGTGGACAGGGCGTACATGACCGCGCTGAGGATGACGGGCATCAGGGCGTCCTCTTCCACTGCTTGCGCCAGATGGCCTTGTAGAAAGGAATGCTCCACCATGTATTTGAAAGTGTTTTGGAAGCTCTCGAGCTTCTCTGCAGCCTTCGTGCGCAACTGCACCTTGAAGTGAAGGAAGAGCAAGTCACTCTCAACCAGCACGGCCACAAGTTCTGCCATTGAGTCACGAGCGCGATGCCAACCAGCCTTGAGTGCTTCGCTCTTCTTTTCATCAAGTGCCACAGCAGTTGCTTGCCACTGCTGAGTTGCAAGCTTCGCCGACGCTAGGCTTGCGCCAGGGTGATGAAGCGTCATCTGCGCATTGTGGCGCCGCTTGTCGGACTCGGCCGCGAGGATGTCGTCATTCCCTCCCTTCAGAAAAGCAATCGCTGCTGCCATTCGCGCATAGAGCACATTGTAAGCAGACACCTAGGAAAAAGCAAGACATGTAGACAGTGTGTGCCAAGGCTGGAGGGCGTTCGATCAGTTTCGTTTCTTCTTGTTTAAACGTGCCTCGGTGAGCTCCATGGATTCGGTCAACTTCTGGGAAAGCTTGTCCAGCTTCGCGGCAATCATGGCATTGCCTTTTGCCACGCTGAGCATCCGGATATCCAACTGCGTCTGCATTTGCCGAACTGTCTCCTGTGTCCTTCCATGTCTCCGTTGGAGTTTGGGACCCTGGGTGTTGCGGGCTTGGGGCTTTGAAAACCCGAGTCCTCTCGTGCTTGTGGGCCAAATGGTCGAGCATGGCCATCGTCTCGCCGTGGTTGTTGGCCACGGTTTTCAGCATGTCCGCATGATTCTGCGTCATCATGTCTTCGACCTTTTGGAAACCTGGCGACTGAAAATAATATTGCGCATAGGTTTGCTGAATTGTGGTCCCGGTTGCAAATCACTCCTTTTGAACCCCTCCTTTATGGTATTTTGCTGGGACCCTGACCCAGAACAATCCCCACCTGCTTCCGTCGTTTTTTGGAGGTCGTCGATCTTCTGCAACGTCAATATTGCCGCCAGATGCTCGCAATTTTGGGCGCCGGCATTCTCCTCCTCGTGTGCATAGGACACTGCGCTCTCAGCCAACCCTACGGTGCCCTCCGCAATCGCACAACCGAGATCGAAGATGAAGGCCTGGCTTGCATTGGCCTCCACCCGCGCCTGCACCGACAACTCCTGCTTCTCCTGAATCAATTTATTCTTCTTTGCATTCTCGTTGCCTGTGACCGCGTAGACCCCACCGCAGGCGCCACCCACAATGTCACCAAAGAAGCCGAGGATGCCGGCTTCCTTGCGCTGCCTCGCCAAGCGCTCCGCCTCCTCAGTGTGGCATTGCTTCAGCTCCGTGACCTCAGCAGCCTCTTGGGCATCTTTCGGGTTCAGCACCTTGAAGGAGCTGCCAAGGTAAAAGGGGACAAAGGCCACGAAAAGCTTCATTGTTCGAAGCAAGGCAAGAAAGGAACCTTGCTTAAAGACTGGGTATGAGATGAGCCCACAGCTGTGACAAAGAGGCAAACACACAACTGCTTAATACTAGATGATTTATTGTATACCAAACTAGAACAAACTATACCATTACTTTGGTATATTATGCTCTATAAAAATAGAAAAGAATGCAAGAATAATAGTATACTAGTAGACTATAATATCGTATAATATACTGTTTGTTTCATATCATCATGTACTCAGGAGCTCAGTCCTCGAGGTGCTGCGTGTGGCTTTGCCAGGACTGCAGCGCCTCCTCCAGTGACCTGGCTTTAGGGTTGAGTGTTTAGGGTTTAGTGGTGTTCTAGGACCCATGGTTGTGTAGGGGCTACATGCTGACATGTAGAACTTTCAAATCATTACCCTTGCATCATCCATACATATCACCCTTAATATAGCTACCTTAATAATGGCCCAACCCCAAAAGCCGTACATATACCCAATGTTTCTTGGACCCAGATTTTCAAAATTTGCGTGATGCAACCTACTGTTCTGATTATTTGCTGTATGCTCGTCACTGTTGCTAGACATTACAACTTGGCTCATTATTGCCTTACAACAGATGTGATTCTAAACCTTAAATTCCCAAACCGAAAAACCCAAAGCATTTTGATTCGGGAACGCCCACAATAAGGTCGCGCATCCTTCCTCAACCGCATGCGTGAGCGTTGTCCTGGCCTTGGAATGACTTAGAGTCAAGGCGGGCCCTTGGCGATCTAGACCCCTTGGGAGGATCGGGGTTTATACGGGATATGTTAGGAGGACCTCCCCCACCCTGTAATGGTGGTATGATGCTGGTATAATATGAGGAACTTAATATGAACACTATTATCCCTTGTAGCCACTATTACAGGTTGGGGGGTCTACCTAAGGGATATGTAGGGTTTAAAGTTTAATGGTATTACCCCGATATTGGATCACCAAATGAAAAAGAAAATGGACAACGAAATGGAAACTGGGAGTTGTGTAGCAAGTAAATCCCCCTTAAGGGTTCCTAGAAACCACCGTATAGGGTACCATGTTGGGGTTCAACTTTCTAGGGTGTGGCAAGTAGTTGTAGGAAGCCTGAACATGTTCTACCTCAACATGTCATGGCAATCCTTATGCACAATAACTACTTGCATCACTACATCGCTTGACACCCGAACAACCTGTCAAGCTGCCGCCAAACAGCTAGAGAATCTACCACCCCAGCAAAACCTGAGCCCAGACTACAAGACCCAGAACTTCAGACCTACAGCCGGGCCTCACTGCTTCCCGCAAGTCCTCGACTAGGCCAACGGGCCCAGCTAGCCTCTCCCGACAGGTGCCCCCTCCCGTAAGTGGAAAGCGCAGAAGTTCGGGTTGTTAATCCCTTCTGGAGCAAAACTTATTCAAGGCCGATGTAAGAAGCAAGTAAGAAAGGTCCCCAGCATCGATTGCGGCTGTAGTACTTCTCCATGGCAATCTGTGAACCAGGGGAATTGTTGGGTCTCCTGCGTTCGAGCTCCAGCGAAGCTAACGTCTACAGTATGCTACATCCTCCTGCTCGAGGGTGGCAATCTTGAAGCCACAGCTCAGAGGCTTGGGGAGGGTTCAGGAGCTGCTTGGATGAATTGATCCGCAGAAGCCCAAGAGTCAACTTCACCACTCGCCGAACGCGAAAGACTTTTGCCTGCGCGCCGACTCAGCGAAATGCTCCGACAGCTCCCCACGCTCCGCGTCCAGTCTCCTGGCTCAAGGCTGATGGCATTGCTCTGGAGTGATGCTTGGACGCTAATGTGGGGCCGTTGCTTGCCGGAATCCTGCAATCAGACCTGTCCTATTGCACGGGGACTGATCAAACCACACTAACCAAAGGACGTAGCCGATGCATGCCGAAACTCCGGTCACCATCCAAGGACCTCTGCTTTCATAACAACACCGTGTGTAGCATAATGACGCACGTTCGAGTGTCACATGTAGACTGACAGATGCCATACTTGTCCAGGTTCCTAGGGGAAGTTATGCGGTTGATCTGTTGGCTTAAGACGCATAAGAAGATGCAAATGGATGAATGGATTTGAACCTGTGGCTGTTGGAGCGTCACACTTTCGCACGGGCTTGCGGTTCCTCATCCAGAAACCTGGTTTTGGCAGCACCTGACTTTTTGGGACGTCAAAAACATGTTCAACTGCGCCCTACAGGTAAGGTCTCCGTCGTCAGTTTGCTCCCTCCAAACAACATGTTGATGACCCACTACGACAGCTCAGGGTATCCTATCCTGGAACCGTCAAAATGAATGAGGAGTACCTTCTTGAGTCCTTTAGGTAAACGCAGCTTTCCCGTGGGGGTGGATGCCTGACGCCATCTTCGAGGGCACCAAGCCGGCCCCTGAAGTCTGCATCAAGCCTCCAGGCACCCTACAACAGGCTTCTTCTATAGTCCCCCTTAAGTAGATAGAATATGGCATTGGGTATATTATCATAAGATCCCCAAAAGCCCAGTATTCTTTTTACTTAAGGAGGACTATGTATTGTGGTCCCTTTTTGGGTCGCATTTCAATATATTGCTTCTCATACAGGGTATCCCCCCAAAAGGCCCATAACCTGGAACGACCCCCATGACATAGGGTCTGTAACGTAGGGTTTTAGGTCAGGATTGTAGGGAAAGTTTGAAGGACGACCTTCTTACAATGTGGGAGTTCAACGTTGAACTCACCAGCAAGCAGGGTTCGAGGGGCGAGGGCTACAAGTGTCAAAGTCAAAAATCTCGCAACCTAGACATATCAATCTAAAGGCGACACTTGACACCAATGCTTACGGCGTAGCTTCTCAACAAAGCCGTACCCACGAGGGTCTGAGAGACACACAGGGGCCTAAACCCTACTTGGAGGGTCAAGGGGAGTTGGTAAGTAGGTTAACAACCCTTGTAAACCATCTAATAACCCTAGTTATCCCCATTATCTATCAACGTCCCGCCTGACCCAAGTAAACCCTTCAAGACCTTTGGAGTGACTGAGACATCATCTACATCAACGGATTGTCTAGAAGGTCCCTGAACAATTAGCTTAGGGTTTAGGGCTTACAAAGCATCCGTCTCAAAAGATAATCACAGGAAGATGTGCTGACTTCACCTTCGCTTCTTTGTTTTGCTTCAGTCAACAATAGTCAACAGAAACATGAAATTCCCTACATATCTTCGGGGCTTAAGTTCCTAAAGAAGACTCAAGGCGCCGGTTGCCTTGTGAGACACCGGGTGCTTCCTGGAAGAAGTAGCATATTACTACTCATTACAACTGAGCGTGTGCCAGAAGAGCCCCGCAGCATTCCCACGTCATCTGAGTACACCTTGCCTTATTCGATCTCTATATGAGCTACGGTCAAGAGGTCCTACATAATTTAATAGGCACTGGTTCCTGATTAGAGTCCACTCTTAGAGGCCCCTTAATGAGACTAATATTAACAGTAGCCCATATACCCCCAGAGGAGCCCTTGTTCAGTCCTGTCCAGCCGAGTGATCTGCATCTGCAGCTCAGCTGCAAGCTTCCTACAAAGGGAACCGAAAAAAAGAGTCCCGAGAGAGCATGATGGGGGGAGGTTGCGCCTGCAGGTCTCTATTGAGCTGATCTACAGCCAATGGTGCCCTTATATGAAATTCACTTGAGCTTTCTTCCACCTTGCTTCTGAGTGGTAGCCATTGTTGGTATAGGTCCCAAAAAGAATTAAACAACCCTGCGAAGAAATGCTGAACGAGCTCCCGCCTTAGTTGGATCCCAAACCTAGAATCTCCTTCGCGGCCTGATGCTGAGATCATATTTCTAGGCAGGAGGCTCTGCGACGACAGTCATATTTCTGCCTGTAAACTCCAGAACAGGGAGGCCTGGAATGCATTCCCAACATTTTCCATGTTCTGTATTTACTAATTTAGTGTCCCAGTCAGATCCCAAGGCCCTGGGGTCCTCTGAAGACTAGTTACACAAGCACAGAAAGTACTTGGTCGGCGCAGAAAATGAGCAACCTCCATTCATGTTGAAGCAGATGCAGGTATCCTAAGCTAATTTTAAAGACAGTTCCACTGGACCGGCTATCTACATTGGCAGAAATAGGTGGGGTGAAATTATAAAAGCCCTATATAACCCCTATGTAACCCCTATACATAACCTCTATGTAGCCCCTATGTAACCACTCCAATGTAACCCCCAGAGTAACCCCCATGTAACCCCTACAATCCCTGTATCTTTTTCATGCGATTGCCATCAGACCAGGCCAGCCTGAAATTGATCAGAAGCTCCTTGAGTGCCTCGCTATCCTGGTTGTCCCCTGGCAGTGCAAATGGAGGCTCCCCCAAGTATAGGGGTACCTTTCCTTTTAGTGGCTCCCTATAATAAGAAGTACTATAGCATTTGAGGTCTATATTGGGGTACCCCTACTTAGGGGAACTACCAAACCAAGAGAAAGAAAGGCAAGCTCATCGGGTACACCTCGGACGAGCCCTGCACTGCTACCCCTGTAGACAATTGCCCATGGAACGTCAACTGGCTAACACCTCACAACATCTAGCCCAATCACCATGTTTCCTGAGCTGAGCTGTGGGTTTTTTTTATGCCTTTCTGATTTCTTTGGAAATAACAACCCTTCCGCCCGCGAGCTTCCGCGGAGCTTCCGCGAAGACTAGTTTCCTCTTGGTCGGCACTTCAAAGCATCTTGCTTCCACAGACCCTTCCGCACGTTTCAAGTCTTACGTAGGGCCGCCAGGAGCTTCCGCAAGAGCTTTCGCGAGCATGATGCTTCTGCAAGATCGTCCGCATGCTTCCGCGCACACAGCGAGAAGCACGTTTCGGAAACCATCCCGAGAGATCCCAGGAGTTGTTTCCGTATTTAAGTATCGGCTTCAGTCTGGTGCCCTCGCACTGTTTGAGAGTACATTGAATTTTCCTGGTGCCAGCGTTGGATGCAACAAGCTCACAGGCTGGACCGCAAGCTATCCCTCGCAATGCCAAGTGTGCATAGCTGCAGACGTGTGCGAACGGCTGCGCAGAACCGACGTCAAGCTTCGTCCTATAATACCCCTGGCCTGTTCGGACATCGACGCTCGGCTCCTGAAGCAGATAGAAACATATCATCAGCTCCTACATGGGAGCTTGATCTTTCTGTAACTTTCTGTCACTCTGCACACTCTGCATCGCAAAGATAGAAAATCAGCATGCGCGAGCCCTTACAAGCGGTTGGTCACTCTAGCACAGGCACAAAGAAGTGAGATTATAGGCGAAGATACACGGAGGACGTGGACATGATTACTTCAAAAGCTGTGCTATTGCCTTGGCATGTCTAGCCTAAATTTCGTGAACGACGGCATTGTGAAGGAGAACCATACTAGCTACAGCCAACAAAGGTTAGAAAAGGGCATCCCTGAAGCATAGCAGAATTCTGCTTCGCGTGCATCCCGGACAACTAAGTCAAGTACATGAGAAGACCTGATCAGATACGGAACTCTGTACCCATCGGAACCTGAACACCGGACGTTATCTGAATTGCTCCAGATCAAACAGCATGCTAGCATCCATACTCTAACTCCCAGATGCACCAACACAAGTACTACATAGGACCCCACATGACCCCACCCACTCTGTCCCAAGCAATTCCAACACCATCCACGCACACCCCTAAACAGAATGCAGACAAAAATCTCGAAGATCAAGCCATATGGACCAAAACATCCCCCCAACCACATAACCTTAAACACCCTAGACCTTGAACCTAAAGGCATAAACTCTGTAAACCACCATGTACAATCCCGGTATCCATGTCATGTTCCATGTTGATCCACTTTGCCATTTGATTCTTTGTGCCCTTTACCCTTCACAAATCCCTATGCCACCCCTGAGTCAGTAATCCCTATATAAACTCTACTTTATCCCAAGATACTCCCCAGATGAACCCTACCCCGCACCTAAACCCAAGACCCTAGACCCCACTTGGAGAGTCAGGGGAACTTAGTAAGTACGCTAAGAACCCCTATAAGCCATATAATAACCCCAGAAATCCCCGTTATTAACCTGCTGACTACGTCCCACCGACCCTAAAACCCCAAACCCTGAACCCTATAGATTATAGTAGTTTCCATTTTGTTGTCCATTATCCCTATATAACCCCTTATACTCCCCATTATAATATACTAGTTTCCATTCTATTTTCCATTATTACTAAGTCCCCCTGACCCTCCAAGCAGCGACCCAACCTCGGCAGGCTCCGCCCTTCGTGGAGTCTCCCGCGGCGTTTCACTGCGGAGGCGATCACCTCAGACTCCCCACTGATGGCTGTGGAGAAGAAATAATGGAGTAAAAGTGTGAAGCTTAGTTGGGCTTTGAGTTTGGGGATTAAGGCTTAGGCTTAGGTATCTTTTTGGGGTCTTTGGGTTTGGGGTGCTAGCATGTCAGGTTTAGGGTTGAGTTTTAGGGTGCAACGTGAGGATTTGGAGGGCCAGCAGCTGTGTAGTTGGCCCTGGTGCTCCTGTAGATTCCCTCAACTTGGCCATGCATCCAGGAATCCAGACAAGCAGTTCTTTAAACTTACCGGCGTCAGCACCCAAAAAACCACAGTAGATATTGCAGGAAATAAAATTCTGCTTGCTTACGTCCAGATAATAGATCTCCACTGCAGAACTGTTTAGTTGTTGAGGGATCCCCATGCCACAGGGGCCGAGAACTTCCGGACGTCTCCACTTTGAGAAATCGCATCCGCAAAGCGCAACGTAGTCCTTTCCAAACTTATCTTTGCTACGACATGCGGGCGTTTTCATTTGCAATGTTCAAGCTCTGAATCCTTTATCTTGAACTCTGAAACTCGGATCCAGAGCAAAGGACAAACCCCCTAAAAAAAACGTCCTACACTAAACCAACAAACAAATCACCCCGG